GTAATTGCCCCTATATTTTATATATATACACAATGTATTTTTATTTTTCCAAAGATGATGGTGATGATGTTCTTGTTTTGAAGCTTTTTTTTTATCCTTGAATAGAATATAGTCTCTTTGGTGGAGGCAAATTTCTCATGTTTGATTCCATCTTGTTGAATGTGAGATTTGCGATCGCTCTGTCGATTGAGTTTGTTTCCGATTCCGTCTTCTGCTTTCTGTTCCTACTAAAAAAATCAAAGATGGTTGATGAATCTTTCTACTCATGTAGAACGTTAAACAAAATCTGATAAATGAAGAAAGATCTCTCTCTCTCTACCTTGTTATAACCTCAAAGAACTCCTCTGAGTTGGTGTTGTCTGATTCCGACTTCTGTTGTGAGTTCTTCGCAAGCCAGTAAAATGTATCGCAGAAGCATTTGCGGGTATCATCAGTCAACTATGTAAAAAGAAAACAGAGTTAGTTAATTGCTGTTCTAAGACTGATCAAATATCCGAAAAATAATCGCAAACTAAGATTGAGATCACTACACTCACCATTTCTAAAGCCCTCTATAAATCCTGTAATACAACTTCTTCAGCAGGCGGTTCCTCCATGTTCACTTCGCACAAATCCGAGATCTTCATTGGTTCCGCCGCCTTCTCCTTAAACAAAAACAGTGTTACAAGATTAACATCTCTACCATTATACGAGTTAATTTCTCGTAACAGTTTGTATCCCTTATTTGTAAGGTGAACCACAAATTGGAAAACAAAAATGTAAACTTTAGTTGGGTAATAAAACTAGGGACATTTTACAAAAATGTCACTTTCTGTGTCTACATTTGCAAAAATATCACTTTTGGTGTCCATTTGCAAAAATGCTACTAATTATGATTTTTTAGAGCCTAAATCTTAAAATTCTAAACCCTAAAAAATTTTTTGACCCCTTAAACCTTCAAAACTAAACCCTGATACAACATAGTTAACCCAAATATAAATGATATAATGAATAAATAATTTTTAAAAAGTGATATTTTTGTAAAGATTATAAAAATATGGCATTTTTGTAAAATGGCACTTAAAAAATGATATTTTTTAAAATTTCTCATAAAAGTGTCAACTGCAAATAATTGGAGAATAAGTGACCATTTTTTCGCTTAACCATTATCGTTATGCTATTTTATATTTATCCCACAATAGTAATTTGATAAATATCCTCGATGTGACTTGTTTACAATGTATTCAACTCGGTGTTGATAGATCAAATAAAATAAAATATTCATGCTTCAAATAAAATAGTATTCCACTAATAATATAAGTTTTGCTTCTTTGTTTCGATAATCGTGAAAGTTTCAAGCCTTCAAACCACAATATCTCTTAATGTTTGTGGTTATCGCGTTTAAATCATAAATCATACCACTCAAACCCACTAGACATCTTTTCACCCACCATCTATATACTTACTCGATAAACACGAGGGGAAAAATCACGTCACGCATCTTTGAAGATAAGACAGAGTGAAAATTATGCCATGGATTTGGTTTAGAGTCGTAATCAAAAGATACTACTATGTAAGTAGCCTTCTCCACTTAAAGTAGGCCGTAAGTCACACAATTGCTTGTCTATATTTGTCGACTGATGAAATACAAAGAGGACAGAATAAATAAAGAATTAAAGAAAGCAACGTAGGCTCCACTTTGCCTAACGCATCTAATGCCGAGGTTGCGCCTTTAACGGCATGTCGATACATGTATTTTCTAACTGTTCCATAAAGTTGATCACCTTTTCCATGAATACAAGGAAACGTTATAAATATAACTAGAATATTACCTACCTTATATACGGGATAAAATATTTATCAAGTCAAAATTTATATAGTTTTACTTAAATAATTAAGAAATTTTTTTAAAATGCCACTTTTTAAGTGTCATTTTTCAAAAATATCACATTTTCAAAATTTTTGTAAAAAGGAACATTTACAAAAATATCACTTTTTGTGTACACATTTGCAAAAATGTCATTTTTGGTGTCTATTGTAAAAATGCCACTAATTATGATTTTTTTAGAGCCTAAATCTTAAAATTCTAAACCCTAAAAAATCTTTTGACCCCTAAAACTCCTTAAACCCTCAAAACCAAACCCTAATACAACATAGTTTACCCAAACATAAATGATATAATGAATAAATAATTTTGAAAAACTGACATTTTTGCGAAAATTGTAAAAATGTGGCATTTTTGTAAAGTGACACTTGAAAAGTAGGACATTTTTTGAAATTTCTCTTGCAAAAATGCCACTTTTTCAAAAAAAAAAATCATTATATCATTTATGTTTGGATTAACTAGGTTGTATTATGGTTTAGTTTTGAGAGTTTAAGAGGTTTTAGGGGTCAAAAAATTTTTTAGGGTTTATAATTTTAATATTTAGGCTTAAAAAATCTATAATTAGTGGTATTTTTGTAAATAGGCATTCCTAAGTGACATTCTTGCAAATGTACACACCAAAAATGACATTTTTGCAATTGCTCCAATAATCAATTGTTGTTAGTTATTTATACGTAATCTAAATTCAACTTTACATATTTAAATTTACGATTATTTTTTATAAAATATATTCCAACCATGAAATAATTGAAACCAACGGAACATATTTTTCAAAGATGTGGTATATGACTC